AGGAGGTCCCATTTATTAATTGTCGATCTTAGTATCTGTGCTACTGGAGTTATGTTCAGGAAGCGGTCTCCTATACCAATTCATTCAAGGATGCCTCCCACTTTCTCTTCTAACAGGTTCGGTGTGGCTGGGTTTATGCTTCAGTCTTTGATCCATTTGGATTTAAGTTTTGTGCATGGCAATAGACATGGATCTATCTGCAGTCTTCTACATGCCAGTATCCAGTTATGCCAGCACCATTTGTTGAAGATGCTTTCTTTTTCCATTGTATAATTTTAGCTTCTTTGTCAAAGATCAGGTGTTCTTACATGTGTGGGTTAATATCAGGGTGTTCAATTCGATTCCATTGGTCTACCTGTCTAATTTTGTGCCAATACCAAGCTGTTTTCAGGACTATAGCTCTCTAATTGAGCTTGAACTCAGGGATGGTGATGCCTCCAGATGTTGCCTTGTTGAACAGGGTTGTTTTGGCTATCCTGGGTCTTTTGTTTTTCCATATAAAGTTGATTATTCTTCTTTCAAGATCTGTGAAGAATTGTGCTGGGATTTTAATGGGGACTGTGTTAAATTTGTATATTGCTTTCGGTAAGCTTGCCATTTTTACTATGTTGATTCTACCTATCCAAGATTTGGGAAATCTTTCCATCTTCTGGTGTCTTCTTTATTTTAAAGACTAAAAGTTATTTTGATACAGGTCTTTTACTTGTTTGGCTAGCGTTATCCCCAAGGTATTTTATGTTGTTTATGACCATTGTAAAGGGTGATGTTTCTCTGATTTCTTGCTCAGCCCTTTTATCATCTGTATATAGTAGGGCTAATGATTTTCTTGAGTTGATCTTGTATCCTGCCACTTTGCTGGAAGTATTTATCAGCCGCAGGAGTTTTCTGGTAGAGTTCTTTGGGTCACTTATGTAAACTATCATATCATCTGCAAATACTGAAAGTTTGACCTCTTCCTTTCCAATTTGTATCCCCTTGATCTCCTTTTTTTTTTTTTTTGTCATATTGCTCTAGCTAGAACTTCAAGTACAATATTGAAGAGGTATGGAGAGAGTGGACAGCCTTGTCTTGTTCCTGATCTTAGAGGAATCGTGTTGAGTTTCTGTCCATTTAGTTTGATATTGGCTGTTGGTTTGCTGTATATAGCTTTTATTATGTTGAGGTAAGTTCCTGTTATCCCAGATCTCTCCAAGACCTTTATCATGAAGGGGTGTTGGATTTTGTCAAAGGCCTTTTCAGCATTCAGTGAGATGATCATGTGATTTTTGTTTCTCAGCTTGTTCATATGGTGGATTACATTGATATATTTTCGTATGTTGAACCAACCCTGCATGCCTGGGATGAAGCCTACTTGATCATGGTGGATGAGTTTTCTGATATGTTCTTGGATCTGATTTGCCAGTATTTTATTGAGTATTTTTGCATCAATGTTCATGAGGGATATTGGTCTGGAGTTCTCTTTCTTAGTTGTGTCTTTGTGTGGCTTGGGTATCAAGGTTATTGAAGCCTTGTAGAAAGTGTTTGGCAAAGACCCCTCTGCTTCTATTTCATGGAATACTTTGAGAAGAATTGGTATAAACTGTTCTTTGAATTTCTGGTAGAATTCTGCACTGAGACCATCTGGCCCTGGGCTTTTTTTTTGTTGGGAGACTTTTGATGACTGCTTTTATATCCTTAGGGGCTATAGGTCTATTTAAATGGCTTATCTGTTTTGATTTAATTTTGGCAAGTGATATCTATCCAGAAAATTGTCCATTTCCTTTAGATTTTCAAATTGTGGAGTACAGGTTTTCAAAGTATGACCTGATGATTCTCTGGATTTCCTCAGTGTCCGTTGTTATGTCCCCCTTTTCATTTCTGATTTTGTTAATTTGCTTGTTCACACTGTCGTTTGCTAAGTTTGGATAAAGGTTTATCTATCTTGTTGATTTTTCTCAAAGAACCAACTCTTCATTACATTGATTTTTTTTGTATTGTTTTCCTGGTTTCTGCTTTATTGATTTCAGCCCTCAATTTGATTATTTCCTGTCTACTCTTAGGTGAATTTGCTTCTTTGTGTTCTAGAGCTTTCAGTTGCGCTGTTAATTCTCTAGTGTAACTATTCTCCAGTTTCTTCATGTGGGCACTTAGTGCTATGAACTTTTCTCGTAGCACTGCTTTCAAGGTGTTCCATAAGTTTGGGTATGTTGTGTCCTCATTCTCATTGAATGCTAGGAAGCCTTTAATTTCTTTTTTTTTATTTCTTCTTTGACCAAGGAATGGTGCAATTGTGCTTTATTCAACTTCCATGAGTTTGTTTGGTTTCTGCAGTTTGTGTTGTTGTTGAATTCTAATTTTAACGCATGGTGGTCTGATAAGGTGCATGGAATTATTCCAATGTTTTGTACTTGTTGAGGTTTGATATGTTGCCAAGCATGTGGTCGATTTTTGAGAAAGTTTCATGTGGCGCTGAGAAGAAGGTATATTCATTTTTACTTGGGTGGAATGTTCTGTAGATGTCTGTTATTCCCAATTGGGTCATAACTTCTATTAGTTCCTTTGCTTCTTTGTTAAGTTTCTGTCTGGTTGTCCTGTCTGGAGGTGAGAGTGGGGTGTTGCAGTCTCCCACTATAAGTGTGTGAGGCTTTATATGTGATTTGAGTTTTAGTAATGTTTCTTTTATGAACGTGGGTGCCTTTATATTTGGGGCATAGATAATCAAAATTGAAACTTCATCTTGGTGGATTTCTCCTGTGATGAGTATGAAGTGCCCTCCTTTATCTCTTTTGATTGATTTTATTTTAAAATCTAATTTGTTAGATATTAGGATTGCTACCCCCGCTTGTTTCTTGGGTCCATTTGATTGGAAAATCTTTTCCCAACCCTTAACTCTGAGGTAATGTCTTGTCTTTGAGGCTGAGGTGTGTTTCTTGTGTGCAGCAGAAGGATAGGTTCTGTCTTCGAATCCATTCTGTTAGCTGTTTCTTTATGGACGAGTTAAGACCATTAACATTGAAGAATATTAATGACCATTGATTGCTCATTCTTGTTTGTTTTGGATGGTGGTGGAATTATATGTGGATTTCTACCTCTTTGCTTTTGGCTGTTGGTAAGGTGGGATTTATTGCCTATGTTTTCCTTCCAGAACTTTTCTGTAGGGCTGGGTTAGTGGATACATATTGTTTAAATCTGGTTTTGTCATGGAATATCTTGTTTTCTCCATCTACAGTGATTGAAAGCTTTGCTGGGTATAGCAGTCTGGGATGGCATCCTTGGTCTCTTAGTGTTGGTAGAATATCTATCGAGGACCTTCTGACTTTCAGAGTTTCCATGGAGAAGTCAGGTGTGATAGGTTTGCCTTTATATGTTACTTGGCCTTTTTCCCTTGCTGCCCTTAATATTCTTTCTTTATTCTGTATGTTCAGGGTTTTTACTATTATGTGGCGAGGGGACTTCCTTTTGTGCTCCACTCTATTTGGTGTTCTGTAGGCTTCTTGTACTTTCATTGGCATGTCTTTCTTTAAGTTGGGAAAGTTTTCTTCTATGATTTTGTTGAATATGGTTTCTGCCCCTTTGAGGTGGATTTCTTCACATTCTTCTATACCTATTATTCTTAGGTTTGGTCTTTTCACGATGTCCCAGTTTTCCTGGATATTTTGTGTTAGGGATTTGTTGGACTTAAGATTTTCTTTGGTCAATGAATCTTATTTCCCCTAGTGTATCTTCAACACCTGAGATTCTGTCTTCCATCTCTTGTATTCTGTTGGTTATGCTTGTATCTGTAGTACCTGACCGTTTGCCCAGCTTTTCTATTTCCAGCTTTCCTTCAGGCTTTTTTTTTTTTTAATTGTTTCTATTTCAGCTTTTAACCCTTGCACTGTTTGAATTGTTTCTTGTAAATTTTGCTTTGTCTTTTCCTCTCTTTCTTGCATTTGTTAAATTTTTTGGTTTGTCTTTTCTTCCATTTGTATTGTTTGCATTGTTTTTTCCTCCATTTCTTGCAATTCTTGCATTTTTTTGGATTGTTTTTTCTTCCATTTCTTGAAATTCTTTCATTTTTTTGGATTTTTTTCTTCCATTTCTTGTATTTTTTAGGTTTATTTTTTTCTTCCATGTCTTCTTTAAGGGATTTTCTCATATCTTCTTTGAGGGCCTCTATCATTTTCATGAAGTTGTTTTTAAGGTCTTTCTCATCTGCTTCTTCCACGATGGACTCTTGCGGGTGTAGATTCTCTAGTTTCTGGCAGTGTCATATTTGTTTTTCTGTTGGTGGGTGTGTTTTTATATTGTCTCCTTCCCATCATTTCTTCCTGTGGGTGCAGAAGGAGTCTCTTCCTCCCTTGGTGGGTATGTGACCACGGTTCCTTTCCAGTGGATGGGAGCAGGTCCAATACCCTGGTAGCTTTCCTCTTGCGTGGATGAAGGCCATCCTAGTATTGGGACCTTGGCAAACTCTGGGTAAGCTGGACCCTTGCCTGGATTGTCCCTTGGGTGGAGAATGGGACTTGGAAGCTGCCAGTCTCTAGGCGGGTTGAATCCTGTCGGGCTGGGATCTGGATCCGCTATGCACAGACCTGGGGTCTCTAGTGGTTCTGCTCTGTATTGTTGTACTTTTTTCCTTTTCAACTGGGATTATAAAGGTTTTCCTGGTATCTTCCCCTACTTTATTATGGAAGAAGCATGTGGGATGGCAGTTTTTTCCAGATTGTTAGGAAGGGAAACAATTCAGTGACAGAGTTATATGATGGTTTTAATTTTGTGGGTCCATCTTTAAGTTAAATCACTTCTACATTCTGTGTTTTAGTTATTTGAAATCATGAAATATAGGTCAAACACCAGAGCTAAGTGACTTTTATCTTATCAGAAGACTTACATCTAGAATCAGTGCCTCTCCAAATGTATTTTTGGTATGTCAGTTAATTAAATGATTGATTGACATCATTGTGAGGTATGAAAATAAAAATAGTAAAACTTTTCTCTAACTAAATCAGTTAAATTTATACTGTTTCCCTTGTTGGCAGGACTTTGTGTCATTGTACCAGGACTTTGAGAACTTCTATACGAGAAACCTCTACATGAGGATAAGAGACAACTGGAACCGACCCATCTGCAGTGTGCCGGGAGCCAGGGTGGATATCATGGAGAGACAGTCCCATGACTACAACTGGTCATTCAAGTGAGTCGTTTCAGAGACTAGTTCTTCGTAACTAAGGAATTTGTTTTGAGTATTCTTCTAAGCAAAGCAGAAATTAAAGATACAATGCAATTAGTTTTTGGCAATACTGTTCATTGTTCTTGAACTATTTTTTGGAGGGAGAGCTGGGGTTTAAATCCAGGCTCTCAAACATTCTGACAAGGGATGTACCAGTGAGCTGCACACACAGCCTCACTGAGATTTAAGATCTTTTTTTTTTTTTTTCTGTTTCATAAAATTCTTTTGTTTTGTTTTATTGTTTGGTTTCTTTTCTTTCCTTTTCTTATTTTGGTCCTTTGGTTGGTTGGGTTTTTTGTTTGTTTGTTTGTTTTGTTTTTGTTTTGTTTTTTAAGAGAGGGTATCTCTGTATAGCCCTGGCTGTCCTGCAAATAGGCTGGCCTCAAACTCAAAGATTCACCTTCCCCTGCTTCCTGAATGCTGGGATCAAAGGTGTGTGCCACCACCACCACTGCCCAGCATTGTTTATTTTTTGAAACAGGATCTCATTGTGTAGCTCTGGCTGTCCTGGAACTCACTTTGTAGACCAGGTTGGTGTGGAAATCACTTTTTTAATACTCAAAAATGGGATCATATAAGTTATTTTTTGCTCTTTTTATTTGCTAACATACTGGCAAGGGCTTGCCTGTGTGTATATTCATTATAAGTTCATTATTTGTGGTGGCTAATAGTATTCTGCAGTGTAGGTGTGCCATCCCTAGCCATCTTATGCTAGTAAGGCCCAGATCCTAGGCACTTACAGCTTCAGCACTTTGCTTCCGCCTTGGGTTGATGGGAACCATCAGCCATCTGGACCATGATGTCCTTACTGGCTGAGCTCCCGTCATAGAGGCAATATCACTTGTCTCTGGACAGTGATAATTCCCCTATGAAGGACAGTGGCTCTTCAAGGATCTTCATGTGTGTGAGCTCATAGGTGGAATTGCTGAGTCAGAGCATATGTAACTTTCAGTAAAAAGTGGTACCAAGTTGTCCTCCAGAAGAAAACACTGAATGAAAGCTACATTGTAAGAATGTTGTAAGCTGACATTGCCTATCACACTTTAAAATTTTACCACTTACTAAATTAACATTTTTGGTTTGATTTTTTTTCGAGGTGGGGCTTCTCTGTGCAGCTTTGTAGACCAGGTTGGCCTTGAATTCACAGAGATCCGCCTGCCTCTGCCTCCCAAGTGCAGTTTTTGTTTGTTTGTTTGTTTTTTCTTTCTTTCTTTCTTTCTTTTTATTTATTTACAAACAAGCTTGTTTCACATATCAATCCCAGCTCCCTCTCCCTCCTCTCCTCCCCTGCCTGCCCCACCAGGCCGGCAAGTGCAGATTTTTATTCTTGACAATTTTGTGCATGTGCACAGTGCACACTGTATTTTGTTGTACCTTTCATCTCCCTTGCTATTGGTGAGTTTGTGCTGCCTTTCTATAGACAGTGCCCTCTCTTTCTGTGTGGGGTGCTTTTGTGTAACCAGTGCATGTCACACTTAAGCATTAGGCCTGCTGTGAGTATCGTTAATTTTTGTACTGTTGAAACACAGGTACACAGGGAATATAATTAAAGGTGTTATAAACATGGGTTCCTACAACTACCTTGGATTTGCGAGAAACACTGGATATTGTCAGGAAGCAGCTGCTGAAGTTCTCAAGGAGTATGGAGCTGGAGTGTGCAGCACTCGCCAGGAGATTGGTAAGTGCGATCTCCGGGTACAGTGCTAGTGTAAGAAATACACAAACACTTGCCTTTGGATTTCCATATACATGGACCTTTCATGTGTGGTTTCTTTACACTTAGAGTATGTTCACAAGGTTACCTGTGTGTGTATGCATTAGTACTTCATAGATTGAATCAGCATGCCATTTTGCTTTGTGACTAAGTAACAACCCATTGCGTGTATGTACCACATCGTGTTTTCCATCTCTGATGGACATTTGGTTTATTTCTTCTTTTTGGCTGCAAGAATATATTTTTGAAATAACACTTTCATTTCTCTTGGGTATGTACTTAGGTGTGGTATTGCTAGACCACATGATAATTCTATGATTAGCTTTTTGAGCTGCTTCCCAGAGCAGCTGCACTATTGTATAATCCCATCAGCAATGAGGGTTTATGGCTTTGGGGGTTGGGATTAAGAGGAAAGGGGTGAGGCATGCTTAGATAGTCTTGTAGTATATAGCCCAGACTAGCCTTGAACTTGTGATCCTCCTGCGAGAGCTAGGATTACAGATGTGTTCTGCTATCCTTGGCTTTGTGAGTTTTATATATCATGTTTGTAGCCCAGCTTTAACCCTTGCCTGCCTTGATTGCTGCTGCCTCTCACTTTAAGCCTCTCTGGAGTTCATGTAGTGAGTGTGCTCCTTTCTCATCAAATCACCATCTTATTGGTAAGGACGCAGATTTAACCTCTTGTAGTCCCCAACTCTGTTGGCTTCCTAGGACAATTATAACAAGAATGAGAAATGGGGAATTGTGGAGGATAGAAGTATGAGATCGAGGTGTCAGCAGGGCCAAGCTCACCCTGACAGCACATCAGTGCTCCCTAGCCTGTGGTCCCATGGCTGTCTTCCTGTGTGTTAGATATTGTCATCTTCTATGCCTCTTCTGTGCATGTCTGTTTGTCCAGGATGTTATTAGCCCAATCTCATTGACCTTATTTATCTTGATTATTTTTGTGAAGACTTTCCAAAGTGCTACATTCTGAGTAAAAGGAGTTACGACTTTGTTTTAGTTCTAGAATCTGACCCTGGGTCTTATGCATGCTATGCATCTGTTCTACCACAGAGCTGCCTCCCTCCTCAGCCCCTCAGAATATCTGTTTAGTGAAACACAGTTCACCCTTTGACATTACTCATGCTTATGTTTATCAGTTTTCACTAATTGTATTAAGGGTTACAAGTATCCGTAAATGGAGTTTTAGTTCTTGTCCTCCGGTGTTTTTTGGGGGGTGTGCTGCTTTAATTTTCCCTCCCTCCCTCCCTCCCTCCCTCCCTCCCTCCCTCCCTCCCTCCCTCCCTCCCAGAGTTTCTCTGTAGCTTCAAGACAGGGTCTCTCTTTGTGACAACCCTAGCTGTCCTGCAACTCACTCTGTAGACCATGTTGACCTCAAACTCACAGAGATCCACTTTCCTCTGCCTCCTGAGTGCTGGGATTAAAGACATGTACCACCACCGCCCCACTCAATGTAATATTTTAAACTCCACCTTTAAGTTTTGTAGCTGAAGCTTGAGAAATCACAGACTGTTAGGTCAGTGGTGTGGGCAAGGGAGAGCTATAATGATGAGGTACAGTGAGCACTGTGCATCTTTATGGTACTGTAGATTTTGTCAAGTACCAGCACATTCTCTTTTGTGGGGGGGGTGAGACAGGGTGGAGGCTGTCCTGGAACTAGCTCTTGTAGACCAGACTGGTCTTGAACTCACAGAGATCTGCCTGCCTCTGCTTCCCAAGTACTGGGATAAAAGGCGTGCGCCACCACTACCCAGATCCCCCCTTCCCCCACCAGCTCATTATCTTAATCCTTAGAACAACATCATGAGGTAGATAAGGGAGTATTGTCGGTGTTCAGCAAATGAGAAATTTGTCAAAGTCTTAATAATACATAGCATTCAAGTTCAACCACCCCCTTTTCTCACTATCTCTTCTCTTTGCAAGCCATTCTGTCATTAGGAATTTGAAAGCCACTGTGATAGTCATAGTAAAAACCTACCAGTTGTTTGAAAGTGAGAATAGGGCTCCTAGTAGTTTCAAGTGAGCCGTTATCCCTGAGGATGGATGGTGTAATGGGCACAGGTGGCACCTTACCTGGCCAGCAGCATTTTACTGTCTAGTTGCTTATCCTCCAGTGCTTACCTCTCTCTACATAGTCTCTCTTTAGAACAGATGAGTTACACTGTTTTGTATGACTGATGATTTAAAAATGTGGGTGATTTAAAAATTGTCAGGTCTTTTAGGACTTAGATCTGAAACTAGAATCTGAAAACATGAGTTAGTAATCTTTATTTTTCTTCAGAGCTGCTGAATCTGAATGTATCAGCTGTTGTGTTTTTAATAACTATTTCTATTGGTAATACCAGACTCTTGATGAACTTAGTTGGAAATGTTACAACACATGAATTGATTTATTTTCATTTATTTATTTTTGGTTTTTTGAGACAGGGTCTCTCTGTGTAACTGCTCTGGCTGTCATGGAACTCACTTTGTAGATCCACCTGCCTCTGCCTCTTGAGTGCTGGGATTAAAGACATGTACCATCACCACCCTGCTAAAAATATTATTGCATTTATTTGCATGCATGCATATGTGTGGTATGGGTCAGAGGACAACTCTCGGGAGTTGGTTCTCTGCATCTACCATGTTCATTCCAGGGCTTCGACTCACGTGGTCAGGCTTGGCAGCAAGTGACTTTATCCACTGATCTATCTTGCTGGCCCTGTTTCCTCTTAATAAAGTAGTAAATTTTAAAATTGAGGATGATACTGATTTTGTTCATTGGCTTCTTCATACAGGAAACCTGGACAAGCATGAAGAACTAGAGAAACTGGTAGCAAGGTTTTTGGGTGTGGAAGCTGCTATGACCTATGGCATGGGATTTGCAACAAATTCAATGAACATTCCTGCTCTTGTTGGCAAAGTAAGAAGGCGTCGTTTGTGGCAGTTCTCTTCTACAATGTTGCTTTGTTTTGATAAGCACATTAAGACAGTTGAGGTATTATTAACATTAGACCAAGCACAGTTTACAAAGATACTCCATCACAGATTTTTGGCAAGTATGTCTTGCAGAGCCAATACCAGTTGTTTTTCTCTTAGAACCGTGATCCTCCCTCTTCTTGTTCAAATTTGAAGGAATTGTGATGAAAAAAAAAAAGCCAAAAGATTAAAATTATGAAAGGTTAAACTCAGAAAGTTTATATTTTTGCCTAAGTATAAAAATAAGAAAGCACATTTACCTTGATATATAGCTAAGTTAAGTGTAATCGTGTGTGTGTGTGTGTGTGTGTCTATATATGCATATCCATTCTATGATAGAACTTGTCAGAATTCAAGTAAATGCTTTTCTAAATGTAGCTGCTCAGCGCCGTCCACTTGACCAGAACCCTTGAAGTTGTTTTCCCCTTTGTTTTACATCTTAGTGTGGATGTTTAGTAATGGCTCATTGACAGAAGCAGTGGATTACCTCAGACTTGGGTTTGCTTGTCTGTTGATTATATGGTCAAATATATCCATGACTGTGAACATGTCACATTACCTTTCTGGTCCTCTTGAACTCTAGTAAACTATTGTTTAGACTTAGATTTCTCCTGTACTAAAATGAAAGTGACTAACTTAAAGATTAGTCTTCCAAATTATCATTGAGATGGTAGGAAGTATTGTTTGATCTCTTAAGGGTGGTAACTTCGAATCTGATCCTGAATCTCTCCAAACTTGGTTGTACATCTTAAAGGCTGATAGAACTTATAGTTGAAAATCAGGACCTTTGTGTTGAGTCTCTTATGCTCATGCGTGAATAAGAGTGACTTCTCTTTGTAAGCTGAAGATGCTACTAATTCCTATTTCATGTGGTATAACAAAATAATGACTTAAAATCCCTTAACAAACTGCCTAAAGTTATGCACTTAGATGTTGCCTCCTAACATTTCTTATTTTATTTTTAAACCAACTGTGTAATAGAACCTCACAGTAGACTACAAAAAAAAAAAAAGAGGCCAAACTAATATCTAAAAAACGTTGACTAGAGGGTCTGAAAAACAGCCTTGCAAATTTTGCCTGAAAAATGTATTATCTGGAAAGAGAAGGAAATTGAATTATATGTGTTGGGAGAATGCTTTTAAGGTACATTAGACTAGAGCCTTGCGTGGTAAGTAGAGACTGATGGATTACAGAAGAGTGATCCTACGACTCTTCTCCCAGTGTTTTCAATTTAGACTTACAGAAGAGCTACAGAAGGTACAGAGTCCCTACATGGTCCTCACTCAGCTTCCCTGTATGTAGCATCTTACTTACCAGTGCAGCGTTTCCCAAAGCTTAAAAGCTAACTGTGATGCTGTACCCTGACAAATGTAGCATATATTTCATGTCTGTTATTGAGCATTTCTAGTCTCTGCCCCTGGCTTCTGTTGAGGCTCCATATTCATTTAGTTATAGCTCCCAGTCTTTCCCATTATACTTCCTGGCTTCCATGTGCTGCCTGGCCCTTATTTTGTAGAATGTCTCTCTGCTTTAGTGGTCACTACTGGTGGCGGCATGTGTTATGGAAGTGACATTCACCTCAGTGTGTTGCATAAGATACATGGCACCAATATATGTACTAATATAAATAAGCCCTGGTTAGTTGGCTAAGATGTCAGGCAAGATTTTCTACTTTAACTTACCAATTACCATGGCAGAGAAACTTCGGGACTATAACTATTATTTTTTTTATTAAACTTTTGTTCACTAATTTTATTGTGGATATGCATAGTCAGTGACTGTTAATTGCTTTGGTAGTCTTAGAGTAATTTTTCTCATTTGTTCTATATTCTTTGGAGTTTTATGGAGTTGTTGCTTCTTTATATCTAAATGGACTCATGAATATCTCATTATTTGGGATACCAACATTAGTGTGTTTTCGGTTTTTTGTTTGTTTGTTCTTTTGAGACAATGTTTCTCTGTGTAGCCCTGACTGTCCTAGAACTCACTTGGTAGACCATGATGGCCTCAAACTCAGGGATCTAATTGGTCTTAATAATAAAAACCCTGAGTCAGATATTAGAGGATGAAAGCTGAAAGATCAGAAAAGCAGAGCAGCCAGCCACTAGAGTTCTTATCTCTACAAAATCCTTAGAAAAGAGAAGCTAAGTTCCTGTCTCCTCCCACCTTATATTACTCTTCCCACCCAGGCATATCACTTCCTGTCTGTCTGTACAGACCTCCAGACTCTATGGTTAACTAGTGGCTAGTTCCATCCTCTGATCTTCAGGCAAGGTTTTTTTGTTAGAGTACAAACAAGATATCACCACATTCCCGCTATGAATACCATCTTTTGTTGATTAAGTTGTTTTTGTTTGGGCCATTGGAGTATTTTGAAATGATTTTCATGTGGAAATTCACTTACTTATGTACTCATTTGTTAATTGTAGTGTCAAAGATCCAACCCAAGGCTTTGTACGTGCTAGACAAATACATGCTACCACTGAGCCTCATCCCCTGTTGAGGCCATTTTTGAAAGACGAAAACCTGTTCCTCAGTTTTTATTTTAGCAGGGTCCCATGAGAGCTCGAAGAGTAAAAAATAAACCACCAAGGATGTCAGGCTTTACTCTCTCCTTAATTTATGTGTTAAAGTGCGCTTGGGGATTTTTAAGAGACTAAACCACAGCCTGCATAGTGTGTGACTGAGACCTACAACAATACATCAAAATTCTCTCAAAGATACCAGAACCTTTTAAAGACTGCTAGATTTTAGGTTTAAGTAAGAGCATGTTGCTATTTATCTGGATATTTAAAATGACAGGATGAAGAAACTATTATGTGTAGGCTAGAATTCTGCATGTGTTTCTAAAGCATCTTTGTAAAAAAGTAATCACCACTTGTTAGTATCTTACCTTCCTGTGCTTATGATTTGGGTATCTTAACTTCTGTGCTTGTGATTTTGCAGGGTTGCCTGATTCTGAGTGATGAACTGAACCACGCATCACTGGTTCTAGGAGCCAGATTGTCGGGAGCAACCATTCGAATCTTCAAGCATAACAGTGAGTTACTCCTAGGCTTTGCCATTGGCTTTAATGTTTGTTATTCTTTGGGATAGTGGTGATGGTTACAAAGTTACATTAATAATTGAAAGTACAGTGCAGCTAAAGTAGATTTAAGATGTTCTTCTGGTCCAGTCTTTTAAAAAACACTCTCTTTAATGAAATACAAGCAAAATATTGTGGCATGTGATTGTGATCGTAGCTTGGGAGGCTGAAGTTGGGAGATTTTTAATTTGAGGTCAGCTTGAGCATGTATGTGTGTATCTATATCTGCCTATCTATCTATGAATGAATAAAACACATGGTGAGGCCAGACGGTGGTGGTGCACGCCTTTAGTCCCAGCACTCGGGAGACAGAGGCAGGCGGATCTCTGTGAGTTCGAGGCCAGCCTGGTCTACAGGGTGAGTTCCAAGACAGCCTCCAAACCAATACAGAGAAACCCTGTCTCGGAAAAAAAAAGGCTGTATGGTGATAGGATTCCTTTGTGCAAATTATCCTGCCTTCCCTTGATTTGACTTTTTAAGTTTTTCATCTTATTGCCTTGTTTATAAATCTCTGTTCAAATACATTTACTGGATACTTGTAGTGTGTCTTGTTATAACACTAGGAGGAGTAAATAAGATTAGTGAAGAGATATTGATAGTTAAACAATTAAATAAAATATAACAACTGGAACTAGCAAGATATTCAGGAGGTAAAGAGTTTACGATCCCTGAAACCCATGTAACAGAGAACTAACTTCATAAAGTTGTCTTCTTACCCTACAGTTGTGCTGTGGTATGAACCTTTTCACCTCATCACACACAGGCACAAGAGACGCGTGTGCACGGGCGAGTCACACACACACACACACACACACACACACACACACGAAAAGTTTGGAGCTGGAAAGATAGCTCAGTAGTTAGAGTGTGTACAGTTTCCATGGAGGACCTGAGTTTGGTTCACATTACCCACTTAAGGCTGCTCATAAGTATGTGTGACTCCAGATCTACGGGATTTGACACGCTCTTCTGACCTCTACAGAAACTTGCACTCATGTAGACATATATACTCATTATTAATAATAACAGATAAATCTTAAAACAACAGACAGTATCTGGGGAGATGGCTCATTCTATCAGGTGTCTGCCATACAGGGGTGAAAACCTTAGTTCAGATCCTCAGCACTAATATTGAAAATGGGCATGGAACCTCATACCTCTAATCTCAGCACTGGGAGAGGGAGGCAAGAAGATCTTTGTGGCTAGCCAATCTAGCTCAATTCATGAAGTTCGGGGGAGACCATGTCTCAAAAAATAAGGGGGAGTATGATTGAGAAAGACACATGATATCAGCTTCTGGCCTCTACAAATACCTACATATGCATGTGTACCTGCATATGTATATATATCCACAGATATATATATATATATATATATATACATATATATATATATACACTTAACACACACATGCTTATGTACACATGTACAAAAAAAAAAGAACAGACAAATGTTCTGTGTAGTAATATACAGAGATAGTAGGGAATGGTGTCTTTAAGCTAAAACTTGTTCCTTAAGTGGAAATACCTTTGTGCACTGTTTTTAAAGTTCATAAATAATAGTTTTGAAAAATTAAAGTGCAGAAATCACAGTCTTATAAAACTTATAAAAATCATAGTTTTTATAATTTAAGGCACATATAAGGAGAAAGATTACCCAGTTATGTTTTAATTCTTTTTCCAAACAGTATATATGTAGATGAAACAGTAGGATAGTATATACCAAAATACTAGGTCTGTACCTCTGGAAGGAAGGATTGGATGACAATAATGCATTTCTTTTTCTGTTTTATCTTATGTAAAATGTTCTACAGTGAGACTGGAACGGTGTTTTGTTGTGATTGAGACCTTTTCATTGTTGTAAAACTTTTAACCTCTTGTCCATACCTCTGACTCTTCTTATCGTTAAATGTGATGTGTTCAGATACACCATAGCTCGGCTTTTAAACTTGAAACAGCACTCCACTCACATATTTGCAAGATTGATGTTGAACAGCCTCAGAGTGCCCGGTGAAAAAGGGTGTCCATTTTTAATACCTTTCCAAATAACAAACGTGGCACTGGCCAATTATTCTCATTCACCAGCATGGCCTATTATGTATCATTTTAAATTTTTCTGAACCTAATAAGGACACATATTTGGGGTCTTATTTCTTTTTTAGGTGTAGAGCATTTTTTTATGCAGCTCTTGTATTTGTAAATATTTCTTTATAAGCTGGTCATTGTCAAGCTGATGTATTGGTTTTAGGAGCTCTTTGTAGTGCCGTTTTATATCACACTATTTTTATTTAAACATTTTGTTATTTTTGACTCATCAGAATGTCTTTGACTTCTGGATTGTATTTAATGCTTCTTTAAAGGGGACCTGTTCTCTCACATTTTCCTGTGGAAGTTTTGTGGCATATGTAAAATTTTAATTTACATGGAATTTATAGGGTATATAACAGAAGAAAGATGGAAATGTTTTCCTAAGTAGGTAATCTGCCCAAGCATTCTTGCTATAGATTGTTCCCTTTGTCTAAAGTTTGTAGAATTTTCACGTTGTTGTTTCCTATGTTTATATAGAGAGAGGAGACAGAAAGTAAACAGTGGTTCAACATTTTAGACAAAAGAAAGATAACAGGAAATAGAAAGTTAACTGTGGCACTGCATAGCTGTGTCAGGCAGGCATGTGCTGCCTGTCTCCTATGAGGCAGTATGCTGATTTCTGTGTTGCAGATACTGAAAGGTGTAACACAGTTGTTAGTTTCATCATCCTGCTGTGTGTTTGTATCACATTATTTCCCTTTCCTATCAAAGTTCGATTATAAGAAGGACAAAGTCATGCAATTTTGACCCCCTCTTTCAATAATAAGCAGTTCAGAACACAGGATCAAAGCTGACAGTGTAGGGTCTCCCACTAGCATGGCATATACCTCAGACTTCATGTTGCTTAGAGTTTAGGGAGACTTTTTCAAATGTCATTCAAGACAATTATTTAAGTATAAAGTCTATAGAGATGGAACCACTGGAGTTCAAAGCATCCAAGAAGAAAACTGTGGTCCTTATTAATGATAGCCCAAACATGCTGTCTTTCAACAGTGCATCTGATAGAGTGAACATGGAACAGTTTCAACTGATTGCCAAGCTGGCTTAAGCTTAGACTTATGCATGTCCCAGACTGGAATGCGTGTGTCTGTCTGTCTGTCTGTCTGTCTGTCTGTCTGTCTGTCTGTCTGTCTGTCATCTGTCTATCTATAAATCATTAGTTTGCTTGTTTGTTTTTTCCGCACAGAGTTTCTCTGTAGCTTTGGAGCCTGTCCTGGAACTAGCTCTTGTAGACCAGGCTGGCCTTGAACTCACAGATCCACCTGCCTCTGCCTCCCTCATGCTGGGATTGAAGGTGTGTGCCACCACCGCCCATCGTGACCGGAATATTTTTAACGAGTACAAAGAGAAGGCTGTTTAATAGCAGCTATTGAATGCATCCTGGGTAAAAGAAAATAGATCATGCACTTTGAAGTTCTTTCTCCATGATTACTTTTTTTAAATATGTATTTGTTTTGTCTTATGTGTGAGTGTTTTGCTTGCATGTATTTGCTTGGTGGTCACAGAGGTCAGAAGAGGGCATTGGATCCCTTGGAACTAGACTTACAGATGGTTGGGAGTCACCCTGTGGGTACTGGTAATCAAAACTGGGTCCTTGCAAGAGCAACAAGTGCTCTAAAACCTTGAGCATTCTCTCCAGGTCCATGCATATTTGCTTTTTAGGAAGAACATGTATTTGGTGTGATTTACTTACTCTCATTTGGTCTCTATACACTTATTTCTGGATGAATCACTTGAATTAGAGATGCAGTTTGATTTTTAAAACACAAAAAAGCTCATTCAGAGACTGAGAATTTAACATAAAAATGGTAATTTTTCTATCTAACCAACTAATACAGTTACCAGTCATTTGATCTTGTTGATAGCTTTGAACATTTGTCATATTTAAGTGTCAGTTAATGAATCAATATCTTAATATCTTCTCATTTCTAATTATGCTAATGTCCTTTGCTGTCTGAGATACTTCTGAATAAGAAATGTATGTTCTCGTTTTTCTAATACTGTTAGGAAAAAGATACTTTGGGACTGAATTCTTTCTTTGTGCCATAGATATGCAAAGCTTGGAGAAGCTTTTGAAAGATGCCATTGTTTATGGTCAGCCTCGGACAAGAAGGCCCTGGAAGAAAATTCTAATCCTTGTGGAAGGCATATATAGGTACTCTCTTTCTACTGCGCTTATCCATGGCCTAGACCTGTAAAGACATGCAAGTTTTCAACTGAAGGGCTGGCTAGACTAGTCTGCTCTAGAAACTTAGGAGACAGTGTTCATAATTTGTTAAAAGATACCTGGAAACAGGAGGTACTGAGCCCAAAGGTCTTTAAGTCTGTATAGGACACAGCTTCCAGATCCTTCTTCTATCAAGGTTTTCTCCTGTGCATGAAAAGCTTACCTATAAAAGATTCTAATTTATCAAAAATAAATGACAGCTGGGCTTTGGCGGCGCATACCTTTAATCCCAGCACTCGGGAGGCAGAGGCAGGCGGATCTCTTTGAGTTCAAGGCCAGCCTGGTCTACAGAGTGAGTTCCAGGACAGCTTCCAAAACAATACAGAGAAACCCTGTCTCGAAACAAACAAAAAACCAAAAATAAAAATGACAAAGCTAGATGTGAGAGCACATACCTGTAATTCCAGTACTCATGAGACTAAGACAGGTGAACTATCTATTTTGGGGCCCTCCCAGGGTACCTGGCAAGACAAGCCTCTAGCGGAGTACTTGTGCTCTTGTTTAGTATACATGAGCCCCTGGGTTCAATCTCCAGCCCCCCCCCAAGAAAAACAAACATCAAAATAAATAAAAATAAGTTACTTTTTGTTACTTTTTGAGATAGTGTCTCATGTAGCCCACACTGACCTTAAACTCCTGATTCTGCCTCTGCCTCTGCTTCTTGGGTACTGGGATTTCCAGGCATATGCCCCGTGACAAGCTGTATTTTAATTTTAAGATGTTTTTCTTTTGTTAATTTGGACAACCTACCTTAGATGTCTTTTGCTGAGATAAAGACCATGACCCAAAGCAATTTGCATAGAAAAGGGTTTATTTGGCTTACATATCTAAGCCACAGTCCACAGAAGGAATCCCTAGGCATGTATAATGAGTACAGAGTTTAATGTTGCTTCTGATTGTATGCTTTAGAAGACTCTTGTGGGCTAGAGATGTGACCCACTTGTAGAGTACTTTCCTAGCATATGCAAGACCCCAGCTTTAACCTCTAGCCTCACAAAAGCAAATAGAAATAAAGTGCTGTAACTTTAATTCTTTCTGTTGTGAAATAAAACCAATTTCAATGCAGCACTTATTTTTGAGAAGTCAATCTCCTGTTTCCTGCCAAGTCAGTATACCACATAACTTAGTTTAAAACCAGAGATAGAATTTCCAGATTTATTTTGAAAAGCAATTAAAAACAAAGTGGCTAGTTGCTAATTTTGAGAGTTAAAAAGTCTCAGTGTGTGTGTTTTTTTAACCCTGTTTTGCCAGCATGGAAGGGTCTATTGTTCGCCTTCCTGAAGTGATTGCTCTCAAGAAGAAGTACAAGGCGTACTTGTATCTGGATGAGGCACACAGCATTGGGGCCCTTGGCCCTTCAGGACGAGGTGTGGTAGACTACTTTGGCCTGGATCCCGAGGATGTGGATGTTATGATGGGAACATTCACAAAGAGCTTTGGTGCTGCTGGAGGATACATTGGAGGCAAGAAGGTGGGTAGCCCTTAGGAGTGGCCAGTTAGAGATGGAAAAAGCTGTTGATTTGGGATCTGTCTAGTAGATGGGTCCTGAAATGGGATATGGGGATCCTGGATGTGCTTTGGCTCATGTTCTAGTGCTGGTAGACTTCCTACTTCAGATGCTTGGGGAGTGACTCTGATGTCTCTTGCTGAGCTGAAGGCTGGTTCTGTTCATTGTTTGTTGTTTGCTCATTTGAGCTTCTTTCTAAACTACATTCTGGTCTGAAATCTAGAACACTCTTTTGTAAAAGAGCGCACAGTGGTGCTTCCTGTTTGCCACACAGTCTTCTGTTAGGCTTGAATTGTGCTCACACTTTCAAAGGATTGTCGCAAGAGCCAATGGGAATGGAAGATTAGAATGTACAAACAAGAGAAGGTTTTGTTAGCTCCGATATATACTGTAAAGCCTATTTTTCAACTTTAAAATTATATAGGACCTCTACAGCAATTAAGAATCCATGCAAGTACATAGAGAAACCCTGTCTCAAAAGAAAAAAAATCCATTCAAAATCATGTATACTATCTGCATTTGAACGTGTTTTTGCTTTGTGAGACCTTGGGGAAGGCATTTTTAACTATTTAGTGTCCTTATCAGTAAAAGTAAATGGGGGGGGGACTTGTAATGTGGTAATGGTTTAAAAATGATGTGTGCACAACCAGGTGTTGGTGGCGCACACCTTTAATACCAGCACTCAGGAGGCAGAGGCAGACAGATCTCTGTGAGTTCAAGGCCATCCTGCTCTATAGAGCGAGTTCTAGGACAGCCTCCAAAACAATACAGAGAAACTCTGTCTCAAAAAACAAAACAAAACAAAATGATGTATGCCTATGCTACAACACATGCATTTTGCAGACAAGTAACTGAAGTGAGTCACAAAAGGTCATGTTATCTAATGGTCTTCTTTTGTTTGTTTCTTTGTTTGATCTAGAATAGGTATTGAAACAGAATGTGGGTTAGTAGTTGCCAGGGGTTAAGGAGATGGGGAAATGGAAAATAACCATTAATGGATACATTGTGTTCCTTGTAGGGTGATGAAAATATTCTAAAATTAGGTAATGGTAAGGGTTGCACCACTCTGACTATGTCAAAATGCACTGAATTGTATACTTTACAAAGCTGACAATGGTGAAATGTGACTTATTTTTCCATAAAGCTATGACTTAGAAAAGAACTTGTAACTCTGTAGTGAAGAACTGGCTGCCATATGTTCTGACCTCAGTTTGACTCTCAGATGGAAAAGGAAAGAAAAACTTGTAACATCGTTAAGAAAAGTATGCCTGAGAATTTCTCTAGCACCAGGTTTCTCCCTAACCCCATAATGGCTCCCTCTATCAAGGTAACTTTCATTGCTCTCCGCCTTCCATCCCTCCCCTAATTCGGTCTTCTTGATTCCCCCATGTTCCCATCTTCCCTCCCCTTCCTTTTACCCCCTCCCAGTTTATCCAGGAGGTCTTAACTATTTTTCCTTCCTGGAGCCCTCCATGTGTGTCCCTCTTAAGGCCCCCTTTTTACCTATATGGAGTTGTGAATTGTAGCCTGGTTATCCTTCACTTTACATCTAGTATCCACTCAGGAGTGAGTACATACCATGTTTCTCTTTCTGGGTCTGAATTACCTCACTCAGGATAATTTTTTTAGTTTTATCCATTTGCCTGCACATTTCAAGATGTCAGTGTTTTTTACCACTGAGTAATACTCCTTCATGTAAATGTACCAATTTTCTTTATCCTTTCTCCATTGATGGGCATCTAGGTTATTTCAAAGTTCTGGCTATTACAAATAATGCTGCTATGAACATCGTTGAGCAAATGTCCTTGTGATATGATTGTGCATTTTTAAGAATCCATAAGGATGACCCCAGCTAAGACTCCTAGCAATAGTGGAGAGGGTATCTGAACAGGCTTTCCCCTTTAATCAGACTAGTGGCTACTCTAATTGTCATCATAGAACCTACATCCAGTAGCTGATGAAAGCCAGTATAGTGATCTACAACCAAGCACTGGGCTGAGCTCCTAGAGTTCAGTTGAAGAGAGGAAAGAGGGATCATATGAGCAGTGGGGGGGAGGGGAGTCAAGAGCATGATGGGGAAAACCACAGCTGACCCAAGCTGTTGGTAGCTCACAGACTATGGACTGATAGCTGGGGAACCTGCATGGAATTGAACTAGACCCTCTGAATGTGGGTGACACTTATATGACTTGATCTTTTGGGGGGGGTGGCAGTGGCACTAGACCTATCCCAGGTACATGAACTGGATTTTTGGAGTCCATTCCCTGTGGTGGGAATACCTTGGCCAGCCTTGATACAGGGTCCCCTGGAGAAAGAGGAAAAATAGGTGACCATCTTGTTTGTGTTTGGTTTTGGTTTTGGTTTTTCAAGGCAGTATTTCTCTATGTAGCCCTGATTGTCCTGGAACTCAAATCTCTCTCTGAGTTCAGGCTGGCCTTGAACTCACAGAGATCCACCTGCCTCTGCCTCCTGAGTGCTGGGATTAAAGGTGTGTGCCACTGCCTGGCATCAGTGCTCTCTTCTATGCTTAGGTGTCTGTGCCAGTCTTGCTGTGAATTGAAGTGTGTGTAGAAAAGCCAGGAAAATTGTTACTTAGGATATAAGCATGACTGTGTGTATAGGGTGAAACACAAATGACACGTAGAAGTGAATCATTATATCCCGAAAAGCAGTTCATACTTTCTTCTGTAACATCAAATGATTTGTTCTTCAAATTTAGAGTGATCCTTTAAAACCAAAGCAAAACCCAAGACTTTGCTGTTTCTGACATTCCTGTTGGGCAGCTGTGAGCTGTGATGGTGTTAGTTTTCCTTGAGGCTCTGCTTAGCACCCTGCTCCAGACTTTTGAGTGGAAGAGCCCAGTAGCACCTAGAAGGAAGGCACTTGTATAACTGCATGTTCAGGAATCGCCTCTAAATATCTGCCTCTGCTTCCACAGGCGCTGATAGACTACCTGCGCACACATTCTCACAGTGCTGTGTATGCCACGTCAATGTCACCACCTGTGATGGAGCAGATCATCACCTCCATGAAGTGCATCATGGGGCAGGATGGCACCAGTCTTGGTAGGTCATTTTCCTTGGCTTACTAGAAACTTAGCAGCCAACTGTGATCTTTGGTTGAGGTTTTTCCTAAATTAGGAGTCAGGTTTTCAATGGGACCACTATAAGGTTTTGGTTTCCATAGACACTTTTCCGTGTGTTAGATAGGTAAACCTTGAGAACAGGCTCCCTCCTGTGGAATTTGTTTGTTTGCTTTTTGTTGTTTTGTTTTTGTTTTGTTTTTTAATTTTGAGACAGGGTCTATCTATGTAGCCCTGACTGTCTAGGAACTCTATGTAGACCAGGCTGACCTTGAACTTACAGCCCCTGCCTCCTAAGTGCTGGGACTAAAGGTGTGCACCGCCACCACCTCTCCTGGTTTGCACATAATAAGACTTTCCTTGCTGGCTTACTGTGCTTTTAATTTAGGACATTCCCTTCAGGGTCTTTCTTAGTCACATCTTTTTATGTGGAAATGTAATTTACTACATTATGAAAGCATATAGCAATAGTATGTTTCCAGAGTAAATGTCCTTGATTTAAAACCTTTTTAAAGTTTCTAATTTAATGAACAATACATAATGGTTATCTTAAATCTGTTTTTGTTATTGGTGGTGGGATGTGCATTCAAAAGAGATACAGTTACTTAAACATAACTGAAATTAACAGTAAAAGATGCCTTGTTTATTAATTTGTATCACCAGAGGGCAGTATTGACCAGTAACTATTAAAGGAAGGTAATTTGTTTTGCTGTTTTTACTTTTTTAAAAGTCTTTTCAGGGATGGGACATTGTAACACAAGTCTGTAATCCTGGCACTTGGGAGGCAGAGACAAGAGGATTATGTATTCAAGGTCATCCTCAGCTATGTATCTTGAGGCCTAGCTTATAAACAAAAACAAATAAGATAACATTTTTAATTTTTTAAAATTTATTTGTTTTTATGTGCATTGGTGTTTTGCCTGCATGTATGTTTGTGTGAAGATAACAGATCTTGGAGTTACAGGATAGTGTGAACTCCATGTGGGTGCTGGGAATTGAACCCCTGGGTCCTCTGGAAGCTGTGGTGTCTCTTCAGCCCTGGTAACAATGTTTTTCTACTAGCAGTATGACAGGAACTTAATTTAACTCGTTCTCTTGCTGCTTCTGAGGCATCCTAGCTCTGGAAGATTTCACATCCTCAGCCGTGGGCTCTCCACTCTGTAATACATGGTCCTAGAGATGGATTACAGCCTGCACTGGAAACAGTTGAATAGATGGCTGGCTTTGACAAAGACTTCTGAAACCAAATCTGACTATATTTGTTCCCATCTGTCAGTGATCCTGTCTTCTCTATGGAGAGACTTTTGGAAATATTGTTGTCAGCTTTGGTTTTATGAGTTTGCTGTTCACGAAGAAAGTTTACTTTGCTCTACAGTGTCTGGGACCAGCTTAGAGGATTCTGGCACTGGAAAGACTGAGATGGTGGGGACTAGGGTCACCTCTGCTTCTTCACTGACTGTCAGAAGGCTTGTCGTGCTTGCCATTGTAACTTGAAGATTTTAAGTGATTTAGTGAGCCTTCCTTGCATACCATGAGAGTTGCTGTCAGCTGGCATTAGTCTGGGGAGGAGGAGGAGGCTATACGTGAGTCCAGTTTCAGCCCTTCCACAGGAAATTTGGCGCCTGTTTGCTTAAGTTGTTTAAATGTGTTGTGCCGTATTATTACACTCCTCAGCATGCCCTGTGGCATGTAGAAATGCCCATGAAGATGCAGGGGAACCTCAGTCTTTACATCCAAGGAAATGCCACACTAAGGCCTGTTGACCCTAGTGCATGCACAAGTGGGAAGAGTGCGCATTGTATAGTGTCATTTGAAAATCCATGCAGTAGTCTCAGTTTTGTAGGGCTTAAGGCAGGTAGACAGTTATGTGAGTATTTAATAGTGTTTAAATGGTTTGCAGGGTAGGAGAGTTTGGGACGAGTCAAGGACACAGTATAATTTTTCCTATTTTCAATAATATCATGTAGGTTCTGCCACCTGATATTTTACATTCTATTAAACTTGTAAATAGACCAGATTCCAAGAATGAGGACTCTGTGTGATTTGTGTTTGTAAATGTTAAATGAATGAGTCATGTTGTGTTGAGTGTGAGGTTCTCATTCACTTGTTTTCACTTTTACAGTATTAGAGTAGCCTTTTTGTTCCTTCTGTTGATGGCGTTTAGGTTATTAGCTATGCTGATAGAGATATTACTAGAACTACAGAATGATCTTTGCTTATCTCCACTGTGTTTTAAGATTAGCCTGGATACCTTGCAGTGAGTTGGCAGACATCTTTAGAGGCTTCTAAAGTCTTTCCCCAGCGAAACATACTAGCAACTTGGAAGCTAAGGCAGGAAGATTGCTGCAAGTTTGAAGCCAGCCTGGTCAACTTAGTTCAAAGCCAGTCTGAGCTATGGAATGAGACTGTATAAAAACAAACAACAGTTAAAAAAATGTTATTTCCCCAGGACTTTGGTGTACTCTCCCACTTCTGTTACTGTATTTAATAAAGAACCAAGTCCACCATAAGCTTATAAACAAATTCTGACATTTATATTTTTAAGTTTATGAAGATAGCTAGCCAAAAGAGAGATTAGAAATAGTAATATTGCCGGGCGGTGGTGGCGCACGCCTTTAATCCCAGCACTTGAGAGGCAGAGGCAGGCGGATCTCTGTGAGTTCAAGGCCAGGCTGGACTGATAGCCTCCGAAACAATACAGAGAAACCCTGTCCCGTAAAAACCAAAAAAAAAAAAAAAAGAAAAGAAAAGAAAAGAAATAGTAATATTGAGCCAGGTGGTGGTGGTGCACACATCTTTAGGGAGGCAAAGGCCGGTGGTTTTCTGAGTTCCAGCCTGGTTTACAGAGGGAGTTCCTGGACAGCCAGTACTGTTATTCAGAGAAACTGTCTTAGGAGGAAGGGGGGGGGGCAATATCATGCAAATTGGTGGTGATTCACAGAGGAAACGTACTAGAAAGATGAAGGACTTTCCCGGACTCCACCACGGATGATGGGACAAGACAAAGAAATATACCATTGTGGAGTTTACAACCAGAAAAGCCAGATGTGTAATAAAACCCAGACCTGCTTCCTGAGAGTGAGAATGTAGGGGCTGAGAAGAGACTATTATTTAATACGACTTTGTACTGTTAAAAATGCATGTTACTATATGGATATTACTTTTATAGTAGAGCTTTAAAAGAATTCATTCAACATAATAAATCCTGCTTGAAATGAAGTTCAAAGCTGTTCAGAAAAGCTGCAGCTGGCAAGGGAGGATGAGCTATCCTTCCCACATCACCTTAAAACTGCTGTCATTTTTTGTGAATGGAAATTGTGCTGCCAGTGACCTTCTTCCAATAGCAATATCAAGTTAGAACAGGCCGCTGGGTAGAAAAAGTGAGTTCTGAAAAGTCCCCCGGACATTTTAAAAGCTAGTTTTTGCTTCATATATTGTTGACCATATTCTGTGGTAGATTTTAGCTCCAAGATCTTTTTAGGAATCAAAATAAATAGAAAAATCAATTAAGTCATTAAAAAAATTTGCAGAACTGCACTTGGTTGTAAAATAATTTACAGTACATTGCTTGTGTAGTTGGATGCTATCAGAATAGCCAATTCAAAGATAAACTTCATACTTTTTGTAGCAGGTAGCTTTTATAATGATTGTCGAAGTCACTTTAAATATAGAAAGCTTGACTGTTTGCTCTTAGTTTCTTTTTCTTTTTTTTTTAAGGACTATCTTTTTAAAAATTTCTTTATTGAATTGTTGGGGGTATGTTTCTTTTAATTTTAATTTAAACATTTTTTTAAATTTTACATACCAATCCTAGTTCCCCACCTCCCCCTTAGTGTACCCTCCCCATCTACTCCTCATGGGGAGTTTTAAAAAGTCTTACATTACCACATTGAGGCAGGAACAACCCCCCCCCCGTAGTGGGCTGGCAAGGCATCCCCACCATAGGGTTTGGGCTCCAAAATGCCAGTTCATGCACTAGCTGCTTCGGCAACACGAGGTTAGCATGGCCCCTGCACTTAGTTTCTAAAGAATGTAGGTGAATCCCTTACTGGTATAGGAGAACTTGGGTAGGTTGAAGTTTAATTAAGACTATGCTTGACCTGTTTGAACTAATCCATTAATAAAAAGACTTGCTAATGAGGCGTCAGATGATCCAGGGAACTGTCAACAACTAACATAGGAGCAGACACTACCCAGTCTTTGAGATCAAACATCAGTCTGATCCTATAGAGAGCTGCCTCCAAGTCCAGGAGTGTCTGCTTTCTGCTTTTTCCTTTCTTACTGTGTTTTAATGGATTTTGTGTAGAAACTCATCCAGATCAGTGTGAAAGAGGAGGTAATGAGCAGAGTTGCAGTGATTAGAAAAAAGCAAAAGGCAGAGTGCATTTTCTTTTCGGTTTCATTCTTGCCTAGAACATTTGAGCAGTTACTCCAGTGCTGAGCTCTAGGCCTGCGACTTAATGCCTAGAGCGCTGCTGTCAAGAAACATTGTCAGCATTTATCAGGTACCTACTCTGTGCTCCATGTCTTTGAAACAGCTCTGCAGCATGGCAGGATAAGATTTCTGGAGGAACTAGTCTCAGAGTTAGAAACATTCTTCTTTGTTCACCTTGCTCTTTTCTTAATTCCCTCCCTCCCTCTCTCCAAACAACTCCTTCCACACCGCATCCCCAGGGAAACCATAAGTGCTTACAACTCAGTACAAGTTATGTGAAGCAAACTCAGGTCTGATATGCTTAATTAAACTTAAGTCTTGAGTTTTTTCCTTGTGGAGCCTCTTGCAAATTACTATAAATGAAAGAAAAAATTCCTTTTATAAATTAATTGCTTCATTGTCTAACACAAAAGGCCTTTTAACCAATGGCTTAAGCTTTTTGGAATCAGTAAGCACTTTACAGGTGGGGAAATTTGAGCTCACATGTGGGGCAGGTTCTTTCTGTATCTCGTTTCCAAATAGGACGTGACTTTTCTATGTCCATCTGC